TGTTGATGCTTCGCTGACATTGCATTGTCCATTCCTGTCCTTTTCATCACTTTGCGGATACTTGGCTCCATACACGTTGCCCAACTGGGCATGTGTCACCTACCTGGCTGCTCAGTCCAGCAAACAGGCAGGTGAGTAGCGAGGCAGGCAGCAAAGAAACTAGATAAGCATCTGCCCGGCAATCAAGCGGGCAGGTGGACACCAGGGGTCAAAATAGACTATGACTCAAAAGTTCAAAACATCAATATGGGGATTCCACATACTGTCGATAGTTCAGCCTTCTAATGAGTCAATGGGAGTCTGATGAAACAGTCTGCCACTATCACTTTTGTTCTATCCTTCGTGCCTCATTCCATACTCTTTTGTTTGCCCCCCAACAACTCTGAAACGGTTTTCACCTTTTAGCAGTAGCGGATGCAGTACCCAGGGTTCGATCCCTAGACCTCACCTTACCCATGTACAGTATCTGTGTAGGCCCCGGGAATTGAACCTGTGACCTGTTTATTCGTAGGCAGTTGGTAGGCCTGTCGTAGGTCCATAGGCAGCAGGGGTTCGATCTGTAGGTCTATAGCGTAGGAGCCTTAGTGAGTTCCGGAAGCTTAGCTGTAGACCTTCTAGAAGGTAGGCAAGTGGGMAAGTGGTCAAGGGGTGAAGCAAGTGGTGGACTAAACCGCAGTGCAACCGCAGTACAMCGTCGGTAGGATAGCGGTGAGTCCACAGTCAGTCAGCGGAAGGTCCAGTCAGTCCCAGTCCGGTCCAGCAAGTACCACAGGGGGACTGTGAGCACCAAGGGCCGATGGCAAAGGGCAGACCAACGAGTTTCTGAAGTATAAATCAAGAGTCAGCGCCCAGCCATTCATTCATTCCTGCGTGAGCCATGCGGAAGCGCTGCCACAGCGACTTGTGCAAGGAGGTCTGCAGATGAGCCCGGGGACGCAGTGGGCTAGAGAGAGGGAGTTAGCATAGCGATAGGTTAGATGCAGCGACAGCTGCCATAGCTGTAGTTAGTAGTGTGTGTGTGTGTGTTCGAGTGTTAGCGTGATGCGTGTGGGGTATCCAGGGTGATCCAGTGTATGTGAACCGTGAGATGTTTGGGCGCTGAAGTCGCCATAGCCAATTCAGAGTGAACTCGTATCTGAAAGCCATATCTCTGAGTTTTGAGTGGGCGCATGTCGCCAGTATGCTGCGTTGCTGTTTACATGCATGAAAAGTGTGTTTGAGAACGAGTCTGATTGCAACTCGCCCTGTGTGCTTTTTTCTTGCCCGCCCACCCTCCCTATCTTACACTGCTTCCCATTTTGGTATCATAAAGAGCTACGTGCTCGCAGGACATGCTATGGCCTTGTTCATGTGTTGTGGCATGCTAATATTACTCAGAGTTCGTGACATCTTTTTCTTTCTTGTTTTGTTTCTCAATTTTACCTTCTCTTTCTCATCAAAAGGGCGCAGCCTTGAGGTATCATCATTGAACTCACTGGCCCCAGGTAATTCAGAGTTGTTGAGTTCATCTGATGCCATCAGGATTCAAACTCAGGTCTGTTTATCGACAGTTATATGGGTGTACCGCTCACCCTCATGGGCTGGGTGACATCTTTATTTGGTCATGCTTACCAAAACATTCATGCGGACACTGTATACACACATACAGGGACTGTGGTGGTGAAAATCCACAACACACACACACACACACACACACACACACACACACACACACACACACACACACACACACACACACACACACACACACAATCTTGCCTATCTATACTTTCTTTGTTTTATGGATGGTTTATGATAATTCGCAGATGGAACGAGAGAGAGAATTCGGGGTTTTTAACAGACACACACACACACACGTCTTGTTGGTTTTGTTGATTATACACCGCCTAATTCTTTGCCCTGCTTTAGAGCATGGGTTGTTTGGATGTTTACGGGTGGCTACGAGTTCTCTTTGGGGGGAATGTATGTTTTGTGGGCCAGCGTGGAAGGCTTTCCCAGTTTTTTCGGACCCTTAGCAGGGGGGGTCAGTTCATTCTTGCTGGAGGAGTCTTCTGTCTTAGGTAAGCTGTCTCGTATCCTCTTCCTCCTCTTTGGCAGTGACGCGAGTGTGTAGTTTGAGATGAATGTCGGGAATGCCAATGCTGTTATGTTTGATTGTTTTGGTCAACGAGTTTTTGGTTTTGTGGGCCGATGCGGAAGGCTCTCCAAGTTTTTTTTGGACCTTTGAGGGGGTCAGGTCGGTGCCTTCTTGCTGGAGTAGTCTTCTGTCTTAGGTAAGTTGCCTTCTGCCCTCCATCCCCTTATGGTTTGAAATATATATGTATACATATGTATATGTGCAAGTGTGCCGCTTTGGCGGCAGACGGGTGTGTGGGCACTTGGCGCTGAACCACACAAACGTGGCCAACCTTGCATTTTCCATTATATTGCCTATCTATAC